TTAACTAATACAATTAATCAAGTTGATTTAAATATGTTCATACTACCATTGTTCATTGATTTTGTTCATATTACCAACTAATTTACAAATTCCAAACAAAATGCTTAGTTTTGTAGATTATGACTACATCTTTAAAAGTACGGACAGTGCTTTAGTTTATCATTAAATGTTGCTAAACTGTCATTCACGTCATAGTTAGTTTATAATCACATAAGAATACGTTTTAAATCAAATTAATATTCTATGAAATGCAAAAGAAAATATTGTCTTTTTTTCTTAAAACCGTACAAATTAATGTTAAACTTAAAAAAAAAAAATTGTTAAATTAGCTGTCAGAATTTTACGAACTTTTTACACTTGGCTTTGAAATGTAATCAATTAAAAAATTTTAAAGCAAATTCCACAATTATATTATTCAATGTTATATTAGTTCAGCAAAGCCCATTTTACCCGCACTTACCATCGTCTTAGTTATATTCTAATATATGTATTAAATTTGTTGAATCCATTTGTTGAAAACCTCTGTTCCGTTTCCGCCAGATTGTATCCTGTTATCGCCGCTAAGTTGATTATGTACATACTAGTTCTAATGAACAGGAATTCCTGAAAATATAGTAACATATGATATAACTATAAAATTATATATTATTCCATTATATAATGGAAAGACTACGTACTAGATCAAACCTATTAAAAATTTAACTAGGGTAACCTGGGGCAAAGCAAGATAAAACGTTTTACAACAAAGATTTTTTGTTGTAAAACGTGATTCTTCTCATAACTTGAGAAGAATCACGTTTTACAACAAAAGATTTTGCAGGCCACTAGCACATTATGTGTCTAATGATCTCTTAAATATTTGTGGCGATAGCTTGTTTCATTGGTACATAATTAAATTCAAAATGGCAACAACTACTCTGTCTCACTTTCCCCAAAGCCTGGGACAAAGTGAGACAGACTTCATTCGAAGAAAAAACGAAGTAAAAATATAATTTTCAATAAAATTAAAGCAGACTTTTGATCAATTCGATCTGATTAAATATGAGAGCGCTAATAAAAACACAAAGGTATCATTTTATAATGCAATTTTTCCTTTTAAATCAAAAAACATGATAGAAATTAAAAAAAAATATCAATAAAAAAATGCATATGCAAAGTTTCATGTTAGTCAACAAATTCAAATAAAACTATTCACATAAAAAGCAAACATCGTTTAATGTGCAGTCTTCGTGTACCCAAACAGTAAACACTCCACAAGCTATCCAGTTGATTTGGGTACCATTGCACCATTTTCCTTGACAAACTGGACAAAACCATTCCTCTTCATTGTTTACATCTTTTTCAATCAAGCATTTTTTTAATTTTCTTTTCTTTTTGTTCTTTTTTATATTTCTTTTGTTTAATTTATTATCATTGTTCTTTTCCAGTAAATTTTTTTTCTTATTGTTCTTTTTTTTTTTCCTATTGTTTTTTTCTCGTTGATCTTTTCGAGTAAAATTTTTTTCCTATATGGAGAACTAGTTAATCTTAGATTTTTTAGGTAACTTTTTTTTTGGAAGATAAAGTTTTGCAATTTGAAGTATCTCTGAAAAGCTTTCAATTGGCTTTAATTTATCATGACTCATTAATTCTAATGAAGTCGACTCTGGTTGCTGTAAAATTTCACTTTCTTTTTCGATATTGCGTTCAAAGTGAATTTCATGAGGTATGGATAACCTGATTTTATTATTATTACTCAAAGATGTCCTTGGATATTCATTTTCTAACAAATGCCAATTAAATGTGACAGTTACAGTTGCTCTAAAACTTGAAGTAGCATTTTCCATATTAGCAGCTCTTAAATATGCTTCATTAAAAATTACTCCAAGATTTTCTGTTTGAATTCGTCTTCCTGAATGGTTTTGCATTCATCTCATACAGACTTGATTAAAAAAGGTTGTCAAAGACTTAAGAAATCCACGGTCCAATGGTTAAAGCTTATGAATTGTGTGTGGTGGTAGTAATAGCAAAAACAATCCATTGTCACGAGTATAGTCTATAAGTTTTACCCTTTTGGTGTGAGAACAATGACTGTCAAATATAAGTAAAACTTTGCTGATCATAGTGCATCATACATGTTTAACAAAATGTTGTATACATTCAAGAAATAAATCAGTATTAACCCAGCCATTTTCTAAGCATCCTTGAATAGTTCTATATAATACCATCATCCTTGAATAGTTCGCTTAAATACCATCATGGGTGGTACATAATGACCAACAAAATTACATGCACATAAAATTGTTGTTGTGACTCCTTTTTCCCCACTTTTCACTGATGAAACACACCGTTTTCCTGTAGATAAGATAAATTTTAATGGCTTATGGACTCATGACAACCCAGACTCATCACAGTTAAAAATTTGATGTGGCTCAAAGTGATATTTATCTAACAAATTCTCTAAACTACAAAAATAGATTTTAATATTATCTTTGTTCAAACCAAATACTGTTTATAGAAATTGCTTCTGGTTTTCTTAGTGATAAATCAGGATGGCGCATTAAAAAACCTCACACAAAGTCTTCTCCAGCTAATTTACTATCTTTGTTAAAAGGACTTGGAATTGATTTTTTTTTGCAGAACTGTCAATCTAATATCCATCATTGAGTGACCATAAAATGAATTGTCAATATATTTAATATTCTTATTTAGATTTTGTTCTTGATTATCAGAAAGCGCTTTTCTAAATCTTCCAAGTAAATTAGTATGTAAACCACTTTCAAGTGAAGCCTTTTTAACACGCCGATGTAATGAACCTTTTGACACAATAAAGTTTTTACAAGTTTTTTTTAAAGACATCTGCTTCAACTTTACTGCTGTAATAGCATTTTTCATGTCATCTTTTTACAGTTAGCTTGATTAGTTTTTCTCTTGTAGTTTCTCATTAAAAATTTTTTGGTCACTAAAAGAAAACAAAGTTATGCAATATTCTATAAAGTTTCTAATAAAATTATGTTATACTTTTACATAAAATTCTTTCATAAAATGATGATAGCAAATTTATAAACTTGTTTTCCTAAACGTTTACTTTGACGATCTTTTGAAGTAACTAGCGTTGTCGCACTTGCCCGGTAAATGTGAAGTTATATTTTTCTCAAATATCTTTGAAAGAAAATAATCTGACATAAAAAGAAGAATGGCAACTGAAAGAAAAAAAATAAATGATTACAAACTTAATATTATGTTTGTTCTGTGGTAAAAAATAGTATACATACTTTAGCTTACGTGGATTTTTTCCACAAAAAAATAAATAAATAATAATTTTGATTTTTTAATCAAGTTGACACAACTCGTAAGCTTTAAACCAACTTTTCTATGTCATATTATAGGAAGAACTGATGGAAACTACTGTAAAACATTAAAAAAACATGAAATTTTTAATATAACAAAACAAAGTTACTGCATCACTTCAAAAAAATTCTGTACAATGCTAGAAAGCCTATATATCTCACTTTGCCCCAGGTTACCCTATGATATATTATATTAACACATCAAAGAATTTTAGCTTAAATTTTTTGAAAGCAACTCTAATGAGTTTTTCTTTTGTTTTTCTCATATGAAATATCAAGTAAATCTAAAATATCCAAAAAAATGGATTTAAACATTTTTTTTTTTTAAGATGTTTTTTACCTTAGAAAAAATGATTGAACCATTAACACAAATTTACTACGGGGGAAAATGTAGTTGTTTTTAGTTTCCCTAAAGTTATTGGACTTCGGCCCTTTTAACATTCACCGAATTATATATATTCTTGAAAAAATAACTGTTACCATGTCTTTTTATGATCTATTTTTCATATTACTATTGTAGCTATTTATAATTACAAAATAAACAAATATATATATATATATATATATATATATATATATATATATATATATATATATATATATATATATATATGTATATATATATATATATATATATATATATATATATATATATATATGTGTATAAATATATATATATATATATATGTGTGTGTATATATATATATATATATATATATATATATATATATATAATTAAAATTGCAATGTTTACTACATAAATATTAAACACTTATGAGTAAAAGCTCATAGTTATAATTAGAGAGACGTCACGGCATTTTATAAGATACAAATATTGTAGTGTTGTAAGATACAAATAATCATATTATTATACTCAAAACTACAATATGCGTCGAATAATTCTGATTACAACCAAAACTGATAAAATCAACTATTCCCGTCAAAAACTGGTAAAATTAGCATCGATTTCGCAATGTTAATAATTGTTCGGAGGTTCGACATTTAAATTAGCAACGATCTTTTTAAATAAACAATTTTCATTTTAGACACCCATTACTTTTACAAAGTGAGTAAATGAGCACATACGGTACCCAACATATACTTCCCTTCGGTACGGTAAGAATACGGTATCCAACACCACTTCCCTACGGTACGGTAAGAAATAACACACTTAATTTAATTATTCTTAATATAAACAACTTAAAAATAGGTTTTCAATATACAGAAGAGAAAAATATGTAAATCATTTACATGTGTGTTAAAATATAAAACAAATAACTAAAGATGTGTTTATAAGAAAAATACCCAACAAAACATACTAAAAAATGTCCCACCAACTCCTAGCAGCAATCTAATTAGGGTATGTGCATAAATTACGCTGTCTAATTTATTTGTAGAATTATTTATACTACTTACAAATCCTGTTTCAATTAATATATTGTTACTATAAATAATGTAGACGAATAGTACGAGTAAAGCTTTAATTATAGAGTTTAAACCTGGTAATAGAAAAGTTTTATAAACATTTAAGACCATTATATACATATTAAGCTAGTTTTTTAATCAGAAGCAAACCTGATAAGCATGAGTATCTAGTGGGACACTGTTTTGTAAGAAGTATAGCTATAAACAACTCGCGTTACCTGAAACTTAAGTCTAATAAAATGGAACTTAACGATTGAGACAGCTTTTAAGTAAATACAAAAAAGCCTCTGAAATTCCTTCATTTGTTTTGGCAGAAACGTCAAATCTTTCCGGCATTTGATCAACTTCATTGGAATGAAGGTTTTCTAGGTACTTGTTTAGCACATTTGAATCTATTAAGTCAATTTTATTACACGTATAAATAATTGAGCAGCTACGTTTTTTATGCGTGCATACTCGAAGTAATTTTGCTAAAGTACTGTGTAAGTACTTCATATCTTGTGTATTCTCGGTGGAGTACACCAGTATAATACCGTCTGCCTTTTTCAAGCAATCTATTAATATTGTTTCTTCGGTCGAAACGCATAATTCTGTTATTTCAAGTTCTTTTTGCCTAATAGTACCATCCACTGAGTAGCAATAATTCATGCGTAAACTAGTTGAGTCTGGAATTGTAGTATACCCGTTTTCATAAAAACAGTCTCCTGCTAATCTTCTTATAATGCTGGTTTTTCCGCTTTTTTTAGTTCCAACCACAATGATTCTTAAAGTATGGTTACTATTAAAAAGTTGTGATAAAGTTCTAATTAAAATTCTAAGTAATACTATTGGATAACGTAAAATGTTCATGATTTTCATTTGTTTTTTTCGTTTATAATACACTTTTGATTGAATTCTAAATAAACAATATTTATATACAAAAATTTCTAAATAAATGTAGATTATATAAAATATACTTTATATTCGTTTTTAATAAGTTAAAAACAGTAATCACAATTATAAGTCAATAAAATTTAGTTAGCAGCTTTCTTTTTGTTTTCAAACACAAATATTTTGAGATTATGACGCAAATGTCAAATCCGCATGCAGCGGATGAAATGAAATTAAAGTATTTAAAACGCGTAATAACATTTTGCTGTCTATTGTTCGAATTTGTTAAAGTAAATTTTTAAAAATAATAGTTGCAACTTTAAAAAACTGAGTCATTGCTAAAACTTTAGTTTTAGTTTTGACAATGTTCTTAGTTCTTTTGAAAAATGACTATAATAAAAATTAAATTAACAGTAATTACATTAACAACAATATATTTACAACATATAACACCTCATATTAACAAAAACGTCAGAAATACCAATTATATTTATAAATATTTTACAATACTTATAAATCAAAGAACAAAATTTTGTATCAGGGTTCCCACCAGTTAAAAATCTTGGACTTTCCAGGTCAATTTTTCGTTTTATCCAGGATTTTTGCTTCATGATTGTTTTTATATATAGTTTGTATCTCATAATTCAAATAAAAAACAAACTATTTTATTGCTAGCATATCAAACTTTTTAATTCAATCAAGAAATCTTCTTCTTTGCAATCTGCATCTTGCTTTAGGAGGAATCTATAAAGTACTTACGCAGTAAAACAGCTGATTTAGACCCCCTCCCTCTTGAGCGAACATGTATGCTTTTAACGACTTCCACCCCCCCCCCCTTTCCTTTGCGTACGTACACATTATTTCATCTCCAACGCATAAATTAAATTGTTTTTTTCAGAAACTTGTTAAGTGCGCTTTTTTCAATTTTCAAAAAACTAAAAAAACTAAAAATAAAAAAGCATATTATCTTCATGTTTAAGTTTAACCAAAGAAAAAAGGTAAAATATCAGTTAAATGAAGTACAAAAAATAAAGAAATAATCGAAGAAAAACACTATAACTTAAAACATATTGCCTATGTATATAGGTCAAGTCAATTGTTTGAGTTTTTATTCCACTCACTGTCATACAATACATCTATGTTGCAGACGGCTTAGTTTGCAAGCCAAGATTTTATCATATAACTATTCACAACCTGTTGTATACTTGGCAACTGATTTGATGTATAAACCCCGTCTTCGAAAAACACGTTCGATGCAACCAAAATCTCAATCATAATGTAAGAATGAGATAATTTAAAAAAAAAAAAAAAAATTGACAAACAGTTTTGAATATTCCTCTATTACAATTCATCAAGAATCTCATCATACAATGATTTTGCCCTGCAGGGCCATCACTGAAAAAATTAGATGCTTAGTTCCACAAGGAACTTGAGTTTTCAAATAATCCTATGAGGATTTATTGGTCTAATATGTACTAAGACAGCGTACATACGCGGTTTGACTACCTCTTGTTCTTTATCTCTTCTTGAAAACTGATTTTTTTTGTTTAACAAAAGCATTAAGTTTCGCGAGTTTAAATGATCAATATGCTATGTAATAGAATCGAACTTAAAGTTGTTGCACTTCAATAAATAAAAAATTACATTGCACTTTCAATAAAAAAATTTACTGCAGAAGGCCGCTATGTGATTTCACTTGACGGATTTTTGTAATAAACAAAATTTTTAAGACAAAGTACAAACCATTGAAAGACTTATTAGTTTACGTGTTTCTGCACTAAAGTTTGACTAAAGTTAACCTTTTATAATCGATAATGTAACTTGACGGGTTTCTGAAATAAAAGATTCATTTATTCAAAACATTAACATCCAAAACTTTAAGTTCGATTCTATTACATAACATATTGATCATTTAAACTCGCGAAACTTAATGCTTTTGTTAAACAAAGTAATCAGTTTTCAAGGAGAGATAGAGAGCAAGAGGTAGTCGAACCATCGAAAAAGTCGTATGTACACTGTCTTAGTACATATTAATACACTTTGAAGTAACCCTGCCCCCATACCTCCGTACGCACTTTATGGAAAACCCCATAACTCATCGCCAAAACATTTTCAGTTCAAACTCATACATACGTTCTTTTTTTTTTCTATGCTTCTCCATTGATTTTGATACTATCATTCAATTCATTAAAGAAACAAAAAATCTCCAAAAGGACGTAGAGCAACAAAAGATTTTCTTTGAGAACCCTACAAAAAGTTGCTCAGCAATAATAAAGCCACGCTCAAAGTTTCTATTCCAATAATTTTAATAAGCTCAATTCGCCCCAATAAACGAAGAGAAAAATGATACAAAAATATTCAAATGATTTTGGATTCAAAAAAACTACTTTTAAAAAATCTGGATATGTTTTTTATTTTTTAGTTCAACAGATTTTGGTGATAAACGACCATATTTAAATAATTTTTGAAACAAAATTAAAAATTTATTAGTAAAAACATTCTTTTTATTAGAATTTAAAATAAATATTGGGTTATTGAAGTGTTTAATAAGGAGCTGAAAATTCTCCTGCCTCTTTTTTAAATGCAACTACTTCTTTGGTCAGCGTCACTTAAATGCTAAATTTTTAAAAACCAATATTAATTTTATTTTATTTGAAGCTGCTGGTAAAGATTGTTAAATTTATTTAAAACATTCTTTAGTATGATTTGCTTGAAAAAGTCATTTAATTCATTCCCAAGTATTACAAATGAAATCATTGGTTTGTCTTTTTAAATATCTCAACTAAACATTCAACATTCCATAACCCAGCTCAAAAATTTCAGTTTGGGTGGCGAAATGCTTTCAGTTCATGGCTTTCAGTTTCTGCTAGCTTTTATTTTTTAAACCAGATTGTCTGCTATACTTAAGATTATTGAAACAAATTATAAATTTTATGTATCCATCGTGATTTGGTGTGATTTGGCCTTGTTAGCATAGTTTTAATTTTTTACATCAACCATACCAACAAAACTACATTGGATAATAAAGTGTTCCATGGATGTTTACATAGGTTGCTAGCCTACTAGAAAAGTCATTTAGGATATCGCTTTTAAGAGATTATATAGCTCCTAGCCATTTGTGTTTGCTACTACTGTAAAACTGTCATAAATGATGTCCACATCATTGTTCAAATATCTATAAGAGAATAAAGTTCTTCCTTTTTTCTTTGTTCCCTTTTTTATTTAAGAGTTAAGAACATACCAACATCATTTGAAAATCAAATTAAAAGGTCTATTTTTTACCCCTTTAAAAAGCTTAGTCATTAAATAAATAGTATAATAAGGTTCATTAGATAGCATAATTTGTTTTGAAAAAGGGGAGCAAGTCAAAATGTTGCAATATAACAGGCTTTGGCGGGTCCACATGGAAACAACTGAAAATTTCACATTTTTTACCTTTCATGTGATGTTTAAGCAGCTTCTCCTGTATTAAAATTTTTTTATCTTTAGAACTACAACTGTAAATCACAACTGTGTCTGTTTTTTTTTCCTTTTAAACATAGCTTAAACTTTTTCATTAAGTCATTTTACTTGAAAATATTTTTTATTTATTTTCAAACATTTTCTAATAATTTTATCTAAAAAAAAATGGAAACAGTTTAGAAGCCAAATATTTTTTAGAACTAAAATATTAAATTTTAAAATATTTTTATTCTAAAAAAAAATATCCACGCAACATTAAAATAAAAAACAATAAAACTACAAGCATAAAAACCTACAGTAATCAAAAATAGTACAACAACAACAACAACAACAAAAAACTACAAACAAGAAGTAGCTTAATTGAATACATATTTAAAAAAAAAATCAATGGTTAAAATGTTTTTGATATCTAAGTGTTTTCTATGGAATAAAATAATTTATGAAGAAAAGGTGGAAGATACTTTTAATTAAAAAAATTTTAATTTAAAATAGTAGAACATTCCAAGGCTACTTTCAAAATCAATGACTGGTGGGAACCCCGTGCATAAAATAGATTATAAAATTCATATTTAGATTTGAATTAGACTGAACCTGTGTCCCTCTTCCATTTTCTATGCTTCTTTAAAAGGTCAAATTAGCAAAAATCACAATTAATAATTTTTTTTAATGAATATTTTTATAATATTCATTAAATGAATATTATAAAAATAATATTTTCATAAATTCAATAAATAAATAGTTATTTATATTTTTTAAGAAAATTTTGCTTTTTTATCTTTAAATTTATTAATGTACCAAATTTAAGTATGTACATTTATAAGCATGAACATTAGTAAGTTTGAAGTTTTGAAAATTTGAATGTCTAAAACTGTCATATCTAAAACATCCCTGATACGCAATTGATTATAGATGCAGAAAAGTTATTTTACAAAGATTTTGCTTTTTTTGAACAACAGTTTTTTAAAACTAAAAAATATAATTCCAGAAAAGTGCTAAAAGGTTCTGCTACATTTTTCACTAAACTTTTTAAGTACTATTAGCAGCTCCACTAAAATTAAAATACAATACTATTTCTCAATGTTTTTTGATATTTTTGCTTTCACAACTACATTCAAAAAATCTAAAACTAGTTCATAGACCGTTCCATAAATGTTCACATTTCTGGAAAAATATCTAAATTAACTCTTCGTAAATACAGGGGCAGATACAGTAAAATAATGAGACTTTGCTGAATGATGAGTCAAGCATGAATGAGTGTTAGTTGATAGATCTAGAGGTTAAAGTTCCTATGAGCAGCGACCATGATAGTATTTGTAGAAAAGAGAAAGAGATGCAACTTTATGACGATGGGTCAGAGGCTCAAGCTTAACAGATAGAATGAGTCTAACTATGTTAACAATGTCTTTTTGTACCTTGTCGAGAAGAGAAAGAGCATCATTAGAAGAACAAGCCCAAATATGACAAGAGTATTCCATACAGGGACCAATAAAAGATTTGTAGAAATCCAAAAAGACATA